AAGCTTTTAGGGGCATAGTGCTTTATGACTCATTCCTTTGAGGCTTATTTCACTATTTTAAGGTGTTTTTGTCTGCTCTTAAAAAGTCAGAAGAACAAAAATTTAAGAGCTGCATCTTACGGTCCCTAAAGAATGCCCCAAGGTAAATGGGGTTTTTTATAAGCATCCTTCCAATGCCATAAACACTGCTGCGACCTTGGAAGAGGCACTCCCAAATCCTGTCCTGCAGCCGCTGTGGGAAGAACCAGGGTGCCTGTATTATGAGGTTGTAAAAGTGGACTTGGAGGACCTCATGGCGGCCAGAACAGGGCATGCCAGGGAGCGATGTGGGGAGCAGGGAGAACGAGGCCCGGTTGCGATAAATTCTGCAGCCGTGTCGGTCCCAGCTGCTCAGAGGAAAAAGAAGCAAGGACAGAGAGCCCAAAGCTGCCCTGTCACTCTTACCCTGTAGGAGCAGCCTAGCCTAGCATGGGATAGTGGGAAGCTTCCATTTTTGGACCCTTCTGTCTAATGGGGGCACAAGACATAAACCGCCCAGAGAGGTGGAGCTTTTGGGGGTATACAGAGGATGATGAGATTCAAAAACGGCAGCTGTGGCACAGGTTATGCTGCAGGTGGCAGTTTAAAGATCAGACCATCTGAATCGGCCTCTCTTGTGCTCAGCAGACGTCTTTCCCACACCCAGTTGAGCTGAGATCCAGGCTGCGAACCACTAGCGGTTTCTTTGGGCAGAGTATGCCAACGTACACAGTTCCTTGAGCAAAGTACGAAAGCCATGTGTGCAGAAGCAAAATCTACTTGAGCTCATTTCCTGCTGGTCACCCACCCAAGGCCTTGGCACATGGTGGACTCGAGGCAGACAGAAGGCTTGGTGGAGTCATAGAATCATAGAAGAGGAGAGTTGGAAGGGGCCAGAAGGCCATTGGGTCCAACCACCTGCTGGTGCAGGTCCCCAATTAACACCATCCCACTCAGGTGGCTGCCCAGTTTCTTTCTGAATGCCTCCAGTGTGGAAGAGCCCAGCAGCTCTCTAGCAGCTGGTCCCACTGTTGTATTGCTCTGACAGTGAGGAAGCCTTTCCTGATATCCAGCCAGAACCTGGTTTGCTGCAACTTGAGCTGATTATTCTATGTCCTGCACTCTGGGATGAGAGAGCCGAGATCTCATCCTTCCTCTCAATGACAGTCTTTGTGACAGAGTCTGGGGAGCTGAGCTGAGGAAATCTGACAGATTCCCACCCCGCAAACTGGATTCTTCACGCATCCCTGGCTGAAGATTCACCTGTCCCGTAGGCCACGTCTCATGTCAGAAGCACACCTCAGCTCCAAAAAAGTTGAAGAATAGCACCAAGGGCATCTGCACCTGAGGAGACATCTTTCCCCAAAAATTGGACTCTCTCCAGTATGAAAAAAGGACAAAACAGCCCTGGAGCTTTCAAACAGATGGCTCCTAGCACTACCCATGAAAAGGCAAACGGCAGCCAGACAATACATCTTGTTGTAACAGTTTTTTGGTGGCAAAAAAGAAGCAGGAGCAAACAGAAAAGTAGCTGGAAAACAAGGGAGGACTGCAGGTGAAAGATGGCTGAACTCCCCTGAAAAATTCCAGGAACTGGGAAGCGCAAGCACACGAGGAATGCAAATTTAAGATGGATTTGCTGCACCCACCGAAGTGCGCTTCCATCTCTGCTTCTTTCCACAGCAGCCCCTCCAGCCCCCAGGAAATCCCTGCTCAGTGGAGTGAGAGTGGATGGGGGGAACCCTGAAAGTTGGGTGGAAGCACCTTCCCCAAATGGAACCCTTCCTCTTGAGGAAGACAAAGGATCCAGCCCTATATGCCCTCATGCCCCTTAAGATCAGCGGGGGAGGCCTTGCTCCGGGAGCCCTCCTTGAAGGAGGTACAGAGGGTGTCTATCCGGAGGAGGGCCTTCTCCGCAGTGGCGCCCAGACTATGGAATGCGCTCCCCAGAGAGGTCCGCCTGGCACCAACATTATACGCCTTCAGGTGCCAGGTAAAGACCTTTCTGTTCAACTGTCATTTTAACAATTAATGGGTTTTAGACGTTTTAAGATTTTTTTGTTTTTGTTTTTGTTTTTTGTTTTGTTTTCACAGTCGCACTTCCTATTTTATTTTTCCTTTCTTATTTTTTAGTTTATAATGCTCCATTTTAGATGTTTTAATAAGTGTGGTTCTATCATTATATCTTCAGGATTTTATACTATGTAAGCCGCTCTGAGCACTTGTGTGAAAGGACGAGATACAAATGCTTGGAATGAATGTCCACAAATGCGTGCAATTAATTAATTAATTAATTAATTAATAATAGTCCAGAAGCTCCCTAGGAAAATATGGGAGGATTACAGATGGGTGACAAGGTTGTGAATTTGGGTGAACAAGCTAGGGTGATTCCACAGTAAATCAGAGTTAGCAGCTCAGTGGTAGAGCCCGAGCCTTGCATATTTAAGTTCCCAGATTCATTAAAAAGATCTCTCATGAGAAAAGAGCCCTTTCTGCCTGACACTCGGGGGAATGTCCGCTATTTTATCTTTCCTTCTATTGAAAGGATGAAAGAAAAGAACTTTCATGTATTGCCTTGAATTCTGGTTTCTGTTAAAGCCAGTAATTATGCCTAGCCTAATGAATGCATGTTTAATTTGTGGGACGTTCTGCTATGGGACGTTCTAGGGAAGACCACTAGATTAGGTTTAGGGTTGCTGGATTAGAATCCCCGACTCAGTGTCCTGTTCGTACACCCTGCAGAGGCGTTCCCTGGTAGGTGCAGCTGCTCAAAGAATTCCTTCGGGATTCAAAGGATTCCTTTAGGATGCAAAAGAGCAACTCTGTGGGTGGACTTGCCAGGTGCTGATCCCAGCAACAGCCCCAGGGGCAGAAGGGCCATTGCTGGCACCGTGTGCAGGGCTCAGTTCCTGACAAGCATCCCATGAATGCCGGAACTTGGACTTCGGTGGATTCCCAATCCTGAACAGATTCCCTAGGGGCTGCTGACTTTTTTTTTTGTCCTGGCCAGTGAGAGCAATTAAGAGTACAGTGGTACCTCTGCTCACGAACACCTTGGTTCACAAACAAATTGGGCCACGAACAAAAATTCCTGAAAAATCTTGACTCGGGTCGCGAACTCCGCTTTGGGTGGCGACCAAGATCGCAACCATCTCCCCCCCCACCCCATGAGTGGGTAGATGGCCACGATCCCAGTTGCTTTCATGCAGGGAAGGCGTGCGGGATCAGAGGAGTGCTGCTGCAGGAAAGACAGGCAGAATCTCAGCCATCTCCCCCAGGGCTCTGCTTTGCTGCTGCCGTCTTTCCTGCAGCAGCGCACCTCCGATCACGAACAGAGCTGCAATCACGGCCATCTCCCCCCCCCGCTCAAGTGGGGAGATGGCCACGATCCCAGTTGCTTTCATGCAGGGAAAGCGTGCCTGATCAGAGGCGCCTAGATTCCACCCGTCTTTCCTGCAGGAGCACGCCTCCGATCCCACACGCCTTCCCTGCACGAACGGAACTGCGATCGCGGCCAGCCCCCCACCCCCAGCGCACCGTTTGCGCCCATCTCCCCCTCCCCCAGTGCACCCGCGATCATGCCCGTCTCCCCCCCACCCCCCAGCATGCCAGGATGATGGGCGCCTGCAGGGATGACAGCCGTGATCTCGGTTGTGCTGGGGGGGTGGCTGTGCTTGTGTTTGGGGTGGAGGGGGGGAGATGGCCACAATCTCTGTTGCTGTCACTTTGCTTCACATTTTTCTGATTTAAAAAATGGTTACGGAACGGATTAACCTTATTTACATTGAACCTTATAGGGAAATTTAACTTGGCTCACGACCAATTTGGGTCACGACCAGAGTCCTGGAAAGGCTTAAGTTCATGAACCAAAGTACCACTGTACTAGTTCCCGGTGAACAGACCTGCATGCCATGAACGTCTCTGGTCTAGTTTAAATGCATGCAAGGCCTGCCTTGCTGAATTAAGCTGAAGGCCAATGAAATTGTTCAGGGGAGTTCTGCCCCACAAACCACGTACAGAGCTCGCTGGGCTGGCACAAGCTTGCCTTGACCTCACTTGACCTGTCCCTGTTCGGCAGCACGAGGAGAGTCTGCCGCTTCCCCTGGGGTGTTGGCAGAGGACGTCACCACCCCTATTCTGGAAGCGACCCTTCCCTGCATGCCCCCTCTGATGCCACATAGGTGGGCCCTGGTGGGAACAGAATGCCCTTCCAGAGCATTTGGTTGGCACCAGCAAACCCACTCTTCTGTTCTTATAGCAGATTAGATAATCCACGGCACATTCCTCCAGGTGGGAATCTCTTGCAGCTGGAGGGGCCCATTCCAGTTCAGAGATGCTCTGGGGGGCCGCATGGCTGGGGCCAAAGGCAGAGGGGGCAGGGCAACAAGATGGGGGTAAAAATGCAAAAAAAAAAAAAACCCCTCAACCTGCATAGTTTTGCTTGGAATTCTTACTTGCCCTAGCTAATTTTTTGGAGAGGCATTTCAGCTTTTTAGACTGGGGGAAAACACTACGGGAAAGATGGGTCGTGGAAATGAGGCCATCTGTGAGGTGTCACTTGGGGGCTCGTCGGGACCCCAGGCATGTGATTTCCCCAGGCTCTCCCAGCACCCTCAACACCCTGGGGGAACGGGGAAGGAATGCCAGGCTGTTTCTACAGAAGCAGAATAAGCATCTTTGGCTGCATGACTTTTCCCATCCATCGCCAGTTATTCAGAGGCAGGAATGAAAGAAAGCAAAATCTCCATGTACAGCAACAATATACCTTTTTGGGATGAAGCATTCAGAGCTCGCGCGCACACACACACACACACACACACACACACACACACACCCTCCCATCGCCAGGCTGGTTTGGAGTAGGGCTGCTGGTTGGATCCGAAGGCAAATTTTGGCTCGGGGGTAGAAGTAGCTTCACCCATAATGTTATTGTTTCTATAGTTCTCCAATCCAAATGAGACCCTGTTTGTTTGTTTGTTTAGATGTCAGGATCCTTGGAAAAGGCATTTAATTCCCCCAAGTCTGACCATTCTCCGCCTCTTGTGCTAAAGATGCAGCTCCCCCTGGAAGACAAGCAGGAGGACGACTGGGAGGCCACCTTGTCTGGTAAGTGGGTGTTTCCTTGAATGCCTTTATTTCATTGGTCAGGTTTCTGGCTGAATCGGTGCCCTGAATAGACCAAGGGATGTTCTGTGGGCCTCCAAATTACCTGGGTGCATGACTTGTCAGTGCCTTCCCCCCAAGCAAACAACAAAAGACCATGTCAAAAGCCATGGATGTTATAGAAACAGAGAAACAGCGCGAGTCAGAAGGGGTCTTCTGGGCCATCTAGTCTGACCCCCGGCTCCAGCTGGCTCCGCTCACGACATGCCCACCATGTGCATGTCCAGCCTATCCTTGAACCCCTCACCAGTGGGACCTCAACCACCTCCCGTGGAAGCCCATTCCATGCCCTCGGGGTCCTAACTGTCAGGAAGTGCTTCCTGGCATCCAAATTGAACCTTGGTCCCCTGAGCTTTGCTCTGCTGGAGCGCGTCCTGCCTTCCTCTGCAGGGGAGAACAGGTCTCTACCCATCTCTATGTGACATCCCCTCACATACCTGTATGTCGCCAACACATCCCCTCTGAGTCTCCTCTTCTCCAGGCTGAAGAGATCCAGTTCCCTCAGTCTCGCCTCATACCCCATCCCCTACAAACCAGCCACTGACCTTGTGGCCCTACGCTGCACTGACTCTAACCTGGCTATATCCTTCCTGTAACAAGGGGCCCAGAACTGAACACAATACTCCAGTTACAGGCACACCAGATTCATACAGAGTGATAGTAATACCTCTCTCGATCTAGAAGCCACCCTTCTGGCTATGCAACCAAGGGTGGCATTCGCCCTCTTGACCGCCGCGTCACACTGCTGACTCATGTTTAGCCTACAGTCAACCAGCACCCCCAGGTCCCTTTCACAAGTGCTGCTCTCCAGCCACTTGTCCCCTAACCTGTACTTATGACACCCATTCCTATGCCCCAAGTGCAAGACCTTGCACTTATCCACATTGAACGCCATCCTGTTGTCTCCTGCCCACCTCCATATTCTGTCCAGATCCTTTTGGATCTGGAGTACCAGCTCCTCACTTGTGGCCACTGCTCCAGTTTTAGTGTCATCTGCGAATTTGATCAGCAGACTGTTCACCTCTTCTTCCATGTTGTTGATGAAAAGATTGAACAGGATTGGCCCCAGGACAGAGCCCTGGAGGACCCTGCTTGTCACTGGCTGCCATTATATTCCACTGTTTCAGAAGCTGTCAGTATATATAGTTGCTAATCCTCCTTTCTGGGAGATACAGAGCTGTTTCTGTAAAACAAACAGTGTTGATTCTCACAACAAAAGCAACTCTTATCTAAGGAATGTACTTAGGGAAAGCTGCTTCAAGGCAATGGTTTCTGGGGCTGTTCTTGGCAAGGCTGCAAAAACTGTTGGCATTTGGACATGGGGAAAGTTCACTGTTGAACCTTAATAATGTTCCCGCAAGAGGAATGCAGCTCCATCCATTGATTGCATTGTGTACATTGATTGCAACCTGAGTTCTAGGCTGAGCATCCAGAATAGATTTCACCAAAAAAAAAAAAAAGCCCCACAAAACAAAACCAAAAAACAGATCTAGTACAACCTGAGTGCTGAAAATGGTATTCGGGCCTTGGGCTGAAAGAGATACAACACCACTATCATGCTTTGATAAATACGTATTTTAAGTCCCAATTATCAGTGGCTACTAGTCATGGACAATTAAATGGTACCTCCAGGTTGCTGGAGGCCAAGTAAGGGGGTACTGTGCTCCCCCTATGTTCTTATTTTTTTCTTTATTGTAATTCTTGGCTGCCTTTTGGAGCAGGCGCTTTCCCAAGATGATGCGCAGTGGGAAAACCAGGGGCAGAAATGAAACCGCAGCAGCAGGAAACCTCCTCAAAGCAACAAACGCCTGACGTTATTTTTGTTCTCGCAGGCAACGAGCAAGTGCAAGACAAGGAAGAAGAGGAGTCTTTTCAGGCTGACCAGGCTGAGCAAGTGGGTGTGGGTGGGATGTCATTGGAAAGAGCCAAAGGGAAAGGTTTCCAGGGCCCCGAGATGGACGAGAGGCCCGAGGGTCATCAGGGACTGGAAGGTCACCAGGAGAATCATCCTGGGAAAGCGGCCAAGCTTGGTGAGGAAGGCGAGAGGGGTGTCCGGGAAGGTCCCTTCCAGGAGGGCAGCCACAGGCACACTGACTCAGGGGAAAGCTCCTGCCCGAGCTTCAGCCATCAGGAAATGCAGCCCATTGAGAAACCACACAAATGCTCGTTTTGCGGGGCGAGCTTCTACGAGAGAACCCACCTGGCAATACATGAAAGGATACACACTGGGGAGAAGCCATACAAATGCTCTGTGTGTGAGACGTGGTTTTCCCACCCCTCTGAGCTTATGAGGCACGAGGAGACCCACATGCCCGAGAAGCCCCACAAGTGCGCCGTCTGCGGCAAAAGCTTCAACCAGAAGGCCTCCCTCATCACCCACGAGAGGACCCACACGGGGGAGAAACCCTACGAATGCTCCGAGTGCGGGAAGAGCTTCAGTACCAGCTCCCAGCTCATCACTCACAAGAGGGTCCACACAGGTGAGAAGCCGTACAGTTGCTCCTACTGTGGCAAGAACTTCAACCAAAAGGCCTCCCTCATCACTCACAAGAGAACCCACACGGGGGAGAAGCCGTACGAGTGCACGCTGTGCGGGAAAAGCTTCAGCGCCTGCTCTCAGATCATCAACCACATCAGGGTCCACACGGGCGAGAAACCCTATGAATGCTTGGAGTGCGGGAAGCGCTTCGGGAGCAGCTCCCACCTGACCGATCACAAGAGAACGCACACGGGCGAGAAGCCATACAAGTGCCCCGACTGCGGGAAGAACTTCAGCCGGAGTTCCAATCTCACCGCGCACAGTCGGATCCACACAGGAGAGAAGCCATACATATGCTCAGGTTGCGGCAAAAGCTTCAGGCAAAAAGCCTCCCTTATCACACACAAGAGAACCCACACGGGGGAGAAGCCCTTTGAGTGCACCGAGTGCGGGAAGAGCTTCATTTCCAGCTCCCGCCTCGTCAGCCACAAGCGGGTGCACACTGGGGAGAAGCCCTATGAGTGCTTAGAATGCGGGAAGTGCTTCATCTCGAGCTCCCACCTGCTCAGTCATAAAAGGGTCCACACGGGAGAGGAGCCATATAAGTGCTCGTAGGGCAGGGCAGGGCAGGGTTCTGTCCCTGTACCGATCCTTGCATAGCCCCATCCCTGGCTGGGGATCCTGTATACCAGGGCTGGCCTGGCTTCTGTAGTATTGCAGGCCTTTTAAAATTCTCTAGACATAACGTGGACGTGTGGGATTTCTCTTACCAGTGGAAAGAACAAAAGGGTCTCCATCAGGCCAGAGAAGGTTCCTCCGAGGCCCCAATCGGGCAGCCAGGCATCAGTGCTCGCTCTACACTTTTGGTGCATGTCCCAGCCGTGATGCGTAGTGTGCAGTGTGGGTACGAGGCATGGCCCCTAGGTGTGCACAATTCCCCCCCATCCTTTCCAAAGGGCAGGAGGAACCTGCTGATGGGGAGTCTGTGCAGGCCACTCTGCCCTTCCACGTTAAATGGCGGGAGGCACATGGGCTCACTGGGCCTGCTGGACCTCTGCTTGGGGCCAGAGCCTGGTTCTGGGTGTGGGTTGGAACATGGGTTCTCGTGTGCCTGCTGCGTGTTTTCATCCCCAGCGGGCAAGATGCCCTATAGATCAGATACCCTATAGATCAGAGGTGGGAAGCGTCATCCGTTATGCCCTTTTCCCCAAGTCACCAATTATTTAAAGGTGGAGATGCCTCTCCTAAGCCTTCGTTGCTGACAAGAAAGAAGAGCCTTACACCAAAATAGACTGGCATTCTGTGTGTGTTGCCCCCGCTTTGGCTCCGCCCATCCCTGGACTGTGCCCTCTCTAGTAGCTCTGAAATTGAATTCGGACTCTGGGCTGAGAGAAGTTCTCCACTCCTGCTGCAGAAAATAGGCAAGGGAAACTCAACATGGAAATCGAGTATTAAGAGTTCCTATGGGATAGTCTTCCTCAACCGGTTGCCTTCTAGGTGTTTGGACTACATTTCCCACCATTCCCATAACACACTAGCTGGGGATGGTGGGTGTTGTAGCCTGGCACATCTGAAGGACAGGCAAAGCTATTCTGGGAGGGTCGCATCTTAAACTACATTCCATCCAGGAAGTCTTTTTGGCATTGATGTGCCAACTGAGGAAGCCATGACCGATCCCACCGTTTCGCGCTGCAGAATCCAGGCATGCTGTAGAGGATTCTGGGAAATGTTTGCTGTGCGTGCCCACGCACACACACACACTGTTTCATGGCCGAGCCCATGCCATCTTCCTTGCCATTACCATGAAAATACAGGGTGCATCCTCACTCATGACTGGCCAAAACTTATTTTCTGATGGCATCTTTCGGTTGAACTGTTTCATGGAAGGCACATCCTCTGTTCTCTCCATGCTGGTATTAGCTGTGCCCATTGAATCTGGCTGGTGCCGATGGGAGAGAATTTTGTTTCAGTTCTTTTTTTTATACACATGTACCAAAATGCAAAAAGATCTTCATATTCAGGAGGGAAAGCACTTGAGAGTTCAGAAAATTAGGATGTGGGAGCTGACTGAGTTCCCCCATCCCCAAAGCAGCCATTACTAAGCAAATTTCAACTAGGTTTATCCTATAACTGTTGAAATCAGTGGGAGTATTCTGAGTGAATGTGGGCTAAGAGTGTGCTGTTTGCAATTAGCATGTAAGTATGCTCAGGTGTATACTGCTTCTGAATGTGGAGGCTCTACACTTCACTACAACCAACAACAGCCCAAGTTAAGGGGACAGGGCTATAATTCAAGGGCAGAACAAGTGTTCGGCATGTATTACAGATTCGGTCCCTTGCAGTTCCAGGTAGGGCAGAAGTGCAAAAATACACACACATGGGGCTTTCTGGAGTCACAGCACAGCCTTCCAGGACTCCCCAGTGGGGCCCAGTTCCATCCCAGGACTTTACTGTGTCCTTTCACCATGGACCATGTGGTGGGTTCAGCGTCCTTCCCCACCCCAGTTCTAAAAGGTTGAACTATCCCCCCTAAGGCTTAGCTTCTGACAGTATGGATTTTCAGCTAAAACACTTGGGCATCATTCATCCTTTGGTCCCAGCCTAGTTTGCCTCCAGCCCTGCTCACCCCACAGATGGGCCCCCAGCCTCAAATTCAACACCCCTGAGGTCGGGCTGTGAAATGCGACTGTCGGACAACTCACAGAGCTGACAACACCGAGCAAGCTGGACCCATGGCTTGACTTGGTAAAGGCAGTGTCTTCTGCTTCGTGGCCCCATAGCAAAGCCTTGGGGCAACACAAGCATGGTGCAGAGAGAGTAAAGACAGGGGGACAAGCCCTCCCGCACAATAGCCTCCGAGCCAGGCTTCACCCCCTGGCATTGGGTGGGCGCAAGGGTTAGTCACACAGCGCACCATTGAAATCAGCGTGACTGAAGTCTCCACGGCTAATTTAAGACCCACTGATTTCAGTCAGGTGTTTGCTGAATATAACACCTGGTCTTGCTGAACCTGGTCTAAACCTGTTGACCAGATAGGTACAGCAAGTTATTCTTCACACCATGCATGACTTGGGCTTCCCCAAGATCAGCTGCTGGCTGGTTTAGATCAGAGGTGAGCAGAAGGTGGAGCTCCAGAAGTTTTGGGCAATTCCCAGCATTCCTGACCATTGGCCATGCTGCCAAGGGCTCCTGCGAGTCGAAGTCCCTAACTTTTGGAGATCTACCTTCTTCTTCTGCCTCAGGCTTAAATAATTTTTGAAAGGGGTCAGGCAAATTCATGCAGAGGCTGGTTCCCAGTTGGCATTAGGCACAGTAGCTGGTGGAACCTCCATTTTCAGTGCCAGCTTTCTGGTTGAGGAGGGGCAGCAAGAAGATGGCGTGAGCTGCCTTAAGTCGGCCTTACCAGGTTACCTTGGGCGACTGGGAATTGTACGCAAGCGAGCAGACACACTGATGGCAAAGAGAGCATGTGTTCCCTTCCCTCCCAGTGCCCAGCAGACACGGCAAGCAGCCAAATAGAGGAAGGTCCACCCCCCCACACACCACCATCCCTGCCCCAGCATGGCCATCCCGGGGGCTTCTCCAGGAGAGAAGCCGCGCTTTGCAGGGCTGCTTCCAGGTCTGACAGGACCCTGTGAAAGGCGGTTCCTTGTCGGCCATGACGGCAGTGGGCCATGGCAGACTTGGGGGGCAGTCAAAGCAGAACTGGCTGAGGGGGTGTGTGTGATTCTTAATTGCCCACACTTCCCCACAGGGACAGAAAATAATTATAGGGGAGGGGCAGAGCAGGCATCAGGGTGGGCCCTGGCAGCTGCCCTCAGATGCCAGGTGTTGATCCGCTGCCAGCATTTTTGTGGGCTTGTAAGTTTAGAAAATAGCCTTCTCTTCCATGGGCTGCCCGGAAGTCTCTTGCCAACTGCTGCGCAAAAAGAAGTCCTGGACTGGGATCTGATCCGGCAGGGCTCCTCTTGTATTCTTCATTTGCATTGTAGAACATGAGACCAGGGAGGGGGATTGAAAGAATGGTGAGAAACTGAAGGGAGGGGGATTAAGAGGACTGTGCTCAGGATCCTGAAAGGCAAAATGGGTGTGGAAGAGAGAATTGCAAAAACGGGTCAACTCTGTGTGTGTGTGAGAGAGAGAGAGAGGGAGGCTGCGTTGCAGGGGTGGGTATTGGGCAGTCCTCCCATTAGCCCTGTCTAGGTGAGGGATTACTGGTGTTGGAAGCCCACCAGTCCGGAAGGCCACCAGGTGCCCAGCTTGACTCTCTCGGCCTGTTCACCCAGGCGTGTGACAACCAGCATCTTTGCAGTGTTAGGTTTGAGGCAATGTGAGGAAAGACCCGCTTGTCTTGCAGCGATGGGTCTGCAACAGGCCTTTTCACCCATGCAAGCCATCCCGTGAAACTCCCTGCCTTTGTCACACGGTAAACACGCATGCAACAACACACAAACTCCCTGACAGGAGCCTTGTGTGTCCTCGAGAACATGGCACTCTCAGAGTGGACACGTTAGTTGTTGCCTCCTATGGAGATAAGGGAGCTCAGGGGGGTGGGTGCCATGAGGGAGCCTCTAAAAGCCTGTCGGGAGCAACAGGGCTGATGCTTGTATGTGTGCGCACAGGAGAATAATCGCGGCGCATCATCCCAGGATGTGTGTGGAATGAACTCCATTTTTAGATCTTTTATCTAGGTCAAGCAAACAAAGGACATGTCCTCCTGCAGAGACAGAGCGGAAAGTTCTAGAATGGCATGGAAGCATCTCGGCAGGTGGGGGGGGCGCACTGAACCCCCTCCCCAACTCATTGTGGGGCACACGTCATCCCCCCTGCCACGGCTGTTACCGGCCGTGGGGCCAGATTCCCAGCAGAACCCAGTGGCCCAACAGGGCAGAGAGAGCCCCGTGGGAGTGGCTGCCATCTGTGGCCTGCTTATATCTCACCCCTAGGCCGGACAAGCCTTTTTCGGCCAGGAAACACACGCCATGAGTGTTACCAAAGCCAGTGACCGAAAAGGCCTGAGCGAATCAGGTGGATTTTCCCTTTTCGTCCTTTTAGTTTCCTCTACCTCCGCTTTTTCTAAGCTCATTCTCCCCACCTAGGGAAAGAAGGATAGGCTGCTGTGGCCCAGGGCCTGGCTGGACCACTCAACGAGATTTGTAATTAACCTGAGGGCTGAAAGTTAGGTTGTGGGTACCTGCGTCCCAAACCTAGTCCATAGTTGTGCTGGTTGTCTGGAAGAGAGGAAAAGACAGGGTTTTTAGAACATCCTGCCGCTCCTTTTCCTGGCCCACGTCTTGCTACTAGCAGCAAAATGGGAGAGCCCATTTCTACAGGCATTCAAAATAAATTGGAGACGGTGGGTAACAAGGACACATCCGCACCGCAACCAGGCAACATTTCCAGCAACTTGTCCCCAAATGTGTGACCTTTTTGAGGCGCTCAGGGCAACATAGAGACATGACTAACACACATGCTCACATGTGTTCCTGTTTTCTTCCTTACACCAGCCCTGCAATGCGGGGCAGAGAAAGTCAAAGCAGCTCCCCCTTAGCCACTTGGGGCAAAAGAAGCTGTGTGGAGGGAGCAGCCATGGCTGCCCTGGTCTGGTAAG